ATACATACATATATATATATATATATATATATATATATATATATATATATATATATATATATATATATATATAACAAAAGCCATCTCTAATGTGTTTATTTGGTTCTTCCCACTGAACTGATTGTGAACCTCAGACTCATTGTGTGGCCCAGGGATGGACCACAGGAACCCAGGAACATTTTTCTGGTTTTGGACTTTGATTAATGCTTGATCCAAACAGTTTCTCCATCACAGAAATCAGACAGTAATAGCATTTGTTGGAGATGATTCTGTATTTGTACTGATGCAGAACAAATGCGTCCATTTGAAATGTAGAAAATTCAGTGGTCACGTTTGACCTGAGACATGTCTGTGGTGCATCTGCTTTAAGCAGTCGTTGCACAAATTTGTGAGATCGTGTCCAGATCCATCAGGGCCAGCTCTCGGACCTCCTCCATGAGAGAGTACAAATTAGGAGTTCTGCTTTGCCTGAACTCTCTCTCTTCTTTGGAAAATTTGGGTTTCTGGGCTGCCTTCTCCTGTGCCTCCTCAGCCAGCCGCACCACTTCCTGAACCACCTGGTTGCGGTTGTGCGAGTAGGACTGCTGTGGCGCCGCACTGAGGTGTGGCTTGTTGCTGATGACCTCTAAGTTGAGTGTGTTGGCGTGGAAGTTATTGGAGATGACCGAAATACGAACCTGAGGAGAAAATGACAAAAAGCAAATGGTTCATTCATTTTAGGGCCTGCAAAACTCTGCCCTCTGTTGGTAAACAACGAACTTGGAGAGGTTTCCATCATCATCAGTATGGAAGTCAGAATGACTTCAGTCTTTTAATGATTTATACAACTTACGTTAATAATTTATAAACAAGTTACCGATTTTATTGCAGGTCATCTTTGATCCACACAGGGTCAAAAATACACATACAGGTTTTAAACATATTGTCAAGTGTTGTGCATTTCAGGTGAGGTATGAAGTCAGTTCTCATGACCTAAAATAAGGTTGAGCACAGTATAAATCACAGATCCCTGAGTATGCGTTCTGGAAAAGTAAGAAAGGTTTATTTACTAAAACTTCTGAAAAAGCAAGAAAGGTTTATTTACTGAAACAAATCTAAATAATAGTATGTAACAGTGTGTGAAGTCTTTCTAATATACTGTGTTAAGAGTGTGAAATCCTATGAATTAAGACTTAATCAATCAATGTTGAAGACATTATAGAGCTTAAAGTAAAACTTTCAGTAAGAACTCCAGTAAGACTTTCATTAAGAACTGAAAGTTCCAGTAAGTCTGAGTAGTTCCAAGAAGTGTTGACTTTTAAAGGGTATCCACTTCCTGTTACTTGGTACTTCCTGATTGGTTAACACAACCAGCAGGGGTGGAGTTTTAGTGATGTCAGAGGATTATTAGAAGTCACAGACAGCAGAAATGTTTTTAAGAACGGTTAGTACAGCCAGGAAAATATTTTGAAGAAGTGACAGACTTGCACAGGGGCCTTTCTGGGTGGAGTTTGCATGTTCTCTCCATGCATGCGTGGGTTTTCTCTGGGTACTCCGGTTTACTCCCACAGACCAAAAACATGCATGTTAGGCTTATTGGTAACTCTAAATTGTCCCTAGGTGTGAGTGAGAAAGTGAATGGTTGTTTGTCTCGTTTGTCTCTATGTGGCCCTGTGATGGACTTGCGACCTGTCCAGGTGTACCCCGCCCCTCGCACAGTGATTGCTGGACATGGGCACCGGCGACCCCCGTGACCCAAAATGGAACAAGCGGGTAAAGAAAATGGATGGATGGATGGACAGACTTGCAGGCGCGCCAGTTTCTTATTTACTGTCTGAGAGTTTTAAAACAAGGCACTTTGTTCTCATAACTTGTTCTCTGACTTTTGACCAACATCAAATCCACTCCTCATTCAGACAGAAGAGTAAAATGCACAATTACTTTGTAAATAGACATTTAACTTGTATGATCTAAGTGTAATGAGGTTTAAAATAATTAATACTGTTTCACAGTTGATTTAAATGAGTGGTTTACTTCAACATTAGAAATGGTATGAACTAAACACAGTTTTGATTATCAAGATATTGTAAAATAGTAATGATAATATAAAAAAAAGAAGAGTGTTCTTTCAATTGATTAATTCAGGATACAATTAAATAGTCTCTTGTTGAAATAATTTGTGTTCTGGATTCAAATCAATGAAATAACAGTTCCTGTCCCCTGAAGGTCTTCAGAGACAGATTGATGTAGGAGGTCTAGTTCACTACAATCTGTATCAAATGCAGCACTGAGGTCTCAGTGACACACCCGCTGAGAAGCAGACCCTGGTTATTGGCAGCTCCATAGTCTGAAACATGGCTTTAGGGACTCCAGCGGCCATAGTTAAATGCATTCCGGGGGCCAGAGCGGGCAACATAGAATCTTATCTGAAACTGCTGACTAAGGCTAAGTCTAAATACGGTAAGATTATTATTCACGTTGGCGGTAACGACACCTGATTACGCCAATTGGAGGTCACTAAAATTAATGTTGCTTCGGTGTGTGACTTTGCTAAAACCATGTTGGATTCCGTAGTTTTCTCTGGCCCCCTCCACAACCTGACCAGCGATGACATGTTTAGTCGTATGTCGTCGTTTAACCGGTGGGTGTCCAGGTGGTGTTCTGACAATCATGTGGGCTACATAGATAACTGGAGTTCTTTTTGTGGAAAACCTGGTCTTATGCGGAGAGATGTCATCCATCCCACTTTGGACGGAGCCACTTTTCTTTAGAGAAATATGGCTGATTTTGTTTATCCTCCAAATTATTGACAACCCAGGGTCCAGTCAAGGAAGCAGAGTTGTAAACGGTAAATGGACTGTACTTATAAAGCGCATTTCTTTTGGGGCAGCTGTGGCTGAGTGGTTAGAGCAGTCGTCCTCCAATGCGAGAGTTGGGGGTTCGAATCCACCAGCAGTCACATGCTGAAGTGTCCCTGGGCAAGACACTGAACCCCTCATAGCCTCTGATGTGTGTCCCATCAGTGTATGAATGTGATAAAGCACTGATTAGTCTCATTAGAATGATGTGTTCAATTAGCTTTGTAGAGATCTAGCAGAGTGCTACATGAATGGGTAAATGAGGACATAGATTGTAATGTAAAGCGCTTTGAGTATCTTGAAATAAGATAGAAAGGTGCTATATAAGTACAGTCCATTTACCATTTACCATTCTATCTTATCGAGATAATCAAAGCACTTTACACTACAATCTGTACCCTCACTTACCCATTCATACAGCACTCTACTAGATCTCTACAAAGCCAATTCAACAAATCATTCTAAAGAGACTAATTAGTGCTTCATCACATTCATACACTGATTGGACACACATCAGAAGTAATGAGGGGTTCAGTGTCTTGTCCAGGGACAATTTGGCATGTGACTGCTGGTGGATTCGAACCCCCAACTCTTGCATTGGAGGACGACTGCTCTAACCACTCAGCCACAGCCGCCCCGTAGTAGTCCTCCACACCTCTCTGCTGCTTCTCCTCTGTTACCCACCCACACCCCCATTGAAACAGTGTCAACTCGCCCATGGCTGAAATTACTGTAAATAAACCAAAAATCAGCTCTAAAAATATAAAACATAAAAATCCTATTAAAATAAACACAGTTACTTTATCAGAGCAAAATCATAAAATCATTAAATGTGGATTATTGAACATCAGATCCCTTTCTTCTAAATCCCTGTTAGTTAATGAACTGATAACTGATCATCATATTGATTTATTCTGTCTGACAGAAGCCTGGCTACAACAGGAGGATTTTGTTAGTATAAATGAACCCACTCCTGTTAATTATTAAAATTTTCATGTTCTTAGAACAACTGGCCGAGGTGGAGGAGTAGCTTCTATTTTTCAGTCAGGATTATCGATTAATGCCATACCAGTTATTAGTTATGATGCTTTTGAGTCGCTGTCCTTCAGTCTTTCTCATCTAAAATGGAAATCAGAAAAGACACTTTTACTAGATGATTCTTGAATCACATTCAAAGTACATATCTTGAAGCAGAGGGTCTCCTTCAGAGGTAGTCTGCTGTTCCAGCCCTGCTCCATGGACAGATTCAGGAATTCCTTTGTCCCTCAAGCCATCAGACTGTTCAACTCCTTCTCGTACAGTAAAAATAGAGCCTTGTAAATCTGTAGTACCTCGGATACTTATGTATATATAAATAAATATATAAATATATAAATATATATATATATATATATATATATA